CGTATTTTTAAAGTCCTACCTCCTAGACCTGGAAAAAAAAAGTTTTCTTCATCATTTAACAACCTTCAAATATTTCTCTTCTATAAGTTAAACATTCACAATTCCCTCAACCATTCTTCATATGGACTGGTTTACAGACCTTTTATCATTCTGGTCACTCTCCTCTTGAGATTTTCAAGCTTCTTAATATCCTTCTTAAACGGTGGTGTTGAGAACTAGACACAATATTTCAGGTAAGGTCTGACTAAAGCAGAGTGGAGTGGTACTATTCCTTCCCTTGATCTGGACACTATACTTTTATTGGTGAAGCCTGATATAGTACTGTTTTTTTCTGCAAACACACTGTGAATTCATGTTTAGCTTGTGATCTACCAAAACCCCTAGATCTTTTTCACAAATACTGCTGGCAAGTGAGCTGTCTCCTTGCCTATATTTGAGCATCTCACTTCCCCCATTTAGTGCAAGACTTTAGTTTTTTCATTGTTCAAACACGTTGTTTCTTTTGGTCCATTACTTCTATCAAGATCCTCTTGAATTAGGATTATGTCTTCTGAACTATTAACCATCCCCCCAAGCTTGATGTCATCTATAAACCTCATGAGTATTCCATTCACAATTTCATATAAACTTCTGTTTTCATTCAATAGGTAGTTATAGAAATCTTTTCATCCACAGTATTCTCTATGGCCACTTCTCTGTCCTCTGATGTTCCAGTAGCTCAGAATCACTGTTGAGCAAGGTCTGCAACTGTTGTCTTTGTTTCAGTGGCTCTAGATTGTTGTTTGTGGAAGGGACTGGGAACAGCTGCTCCTGTTCCAGAAACTCAAGAGCCCTTGTCTGAGGACAGGGCCAATGTTGGCTGGCCCTATTTTAGTAGGTCAGAATCGTCCATGGTGAGGGCCTGATACCAAGTCTGTAGCTTGAAAGACACAGCATGGTTCCTGAAAGTCTCAATTCTCTGTCTCACATTCCTTCAAATGCTTGCCACTTGCCTCTCTAGACAAATTTATATTCTGCTGTTCTTCCATAACAGTCTGGTCTGCACCATCAAGACATTCTTCACTTTCTCTGATAAACTAAACCATGAAGAGATGGGCCTAGAGATGCTATTATTTTACTCTTGGTAATATTATTAAGACAAATAGTATTATTTAAGAAGCAATGCACTTGGACATAATGTTACTTTAAAAGCTGGTACTTCATGAGCATGAATTTATAGATATTTTGTAGGAGGCTAAACCAGATGGCTAATCTGCAAAGTTATATGGGGAAAGGTGTTAAATTTCTAGGCTATTCCATCGCAAACCTCAAAGTAGGCATCCTCAGATAAAATGAAAACAATCTACCCAGGCAAAATTCAAATAATTATCTTTATGTACTTGCTGCTGCTAAGTACATTTTAACATCTGAGTAAGTAGACTGATTTATGAAAGCTCAATCTTGTTAATGATTGTTGTACCTAACTGTTTGAGGATAGCTGTGCCTTCAGCTCCTATTGTTTTCAGGTTGATGGGGGACATGAGATTCTGTAGTTGATCTGAGCTGTATTCAATAAAAGTTATTTGAAAGGGAGACTTAGCATAAAATAGCAGAAAAATCATAAAGTTTGTTGCTATCTCTTTTGGGCCTGAACAGAAATTCTGGTTCCCAGACAGCAGGAGTAGTTAGTGATCTGAGTAAAGGAAGGAATGCTACACTCTCATGTTTCATTAAGTCCATGTATGTATTGACGATATAACGTCATGTTTCAAATGAAGCAAATTCTATTACACAAAGTCTATGCTATTTTAAGATACCAATACAATAAAATAAAATAAAAATACTGGAAAGAGAAGACCAGGAATTGGGCCTTCTTGGTGGTTGCAGCACCTCAATGGAATCAACTCCTGCCCAAGATTCGCCCAGCCCCTTCACTGATGACTTTCAAGAAACTCTTGAAAACCTAGTACTTCAGACAGGCCTTCCAAAATATTCCATCAAGAGAACACACAGTTTCCTCGAGTCCCTAAGGTGCTACCCACCATCTTGAATGCTTTTATTATATGCCTTGATTTTTTAAAGTTTAAAGATTAATATATGCTTATTGTCTACTTCAATTTGATTGTTTTATGTTGCCATTGTTTTCTCATTTTGTTGTGAACCACCCAGAGTCGGCAGTATACATACATGCTTAGATACTTACATACTGTATTTTTCGCTCTATAAGACACACTCCCCCCCAAAACAAAGTGGGGGGAAAGTGCCTACGTCTTATGGAGTGAATATTGTAAAACAGCGCTCCCCAGGGCCCAGTGGGGGGATGATAGGGGGCCTCCAAAGCATCTGAGAGTGCCTTCCAGGACCCTTTGGAGGCTCCCCCACCCCCACGGGGCCAGCGGGGGTGAAATCGTGACCTTTAGGACCCTTCTGAGGCTTGGAAAAGGTCCTGCAAGGCACTCTTGGACCCTTTGGAGGCTCCCCCTGCCCCCCCGCAAGGCCAGTGGGGGCGAAACTGTGACCTTCCAGGAACCTTCTGGGGGCAGGGGGAGCCTCCAAAGGACTCTTTGGTGGCTCCCCCTACCCCCGTGGGGCCAGTGGGGGCGAAATTATGACCTTCCAGGACCCTTCTGAGGCTTAGAAGGGTCCTGGAAGTTGGCAATTTCATCCCCCACTGCACCTGTGGAGACGGGGTGGGGAGCCTCCAAAGGGTCCTGGAAGGCGCTCTTGGACCCTTCCGAGACTCCCCCCACCTCCACCCTCACAGGACCAGCAGGCCGAAATGGCCAAAATATTTTTTTCTTGTTTTCCTCCCCTAAAAATGAGGTGTGTCTTATGGAGAGGTGCGTCCTATGGAGTCAAAAATACGGTACTTACAAAATACAGTGGTGCCTCGCAAGACGAGTGCCCCGTTTAACAACGAAATCCCATCACGACGAACTTTTTGCGATCACAAAAGCGATCGCATTACGATGTTTTAAATGTTTGTTTTTTTGCTTTGTGATGATCGGTTCCCTGCTCCGGGAACCGATTCTCACAAAACGATGATTTTCAGCCAGCTGATCGGCGGTTTCAAAATGGCCGCTGGGTAAAAAAAAAATGGCTCCCCGCTCTTTTCTGGGACGGATTCCTCGCTGCATGGGCAGCGAAAATGGCCGCACTATGGAGGATCTTCGCTGGACGGTGAGTTTCAAACCCATAGGAACGCATTAGTTGGGTTTTAATGCGTTTCTATGGGCTCTTTTATTTCGCATTATGACGTTTTCATTCTACAGCAATTTTGCTGGAACAAATTAACGTCGTAATGTGAGGCAACACTGTAAATAAATAAATACACCGAGGGAGGCCCGGAGAGAAAGAACAAGAAACTGGGCCTTCTCGGCAGTGGCCCCTAGCCTTTGGAACAGTCCTCTCCACCCAGAGATCTGTCTGGTTCCCTCGTTAGGTGTTTTTAAGAGCCAACTTAAGACCTGGCTCTTTGGGCAGGCTTTCCCTCCTGTCATCGATTATTTCTTATTTTTCCCCCATCTTGAACTATATTATTATTGTTGCTTTTTATTTTATTATACTGTTTTTATTCTATTTTTATGTTAGCCGCCCAGAGTAGACATGTGTCTAGATGGGCGAGGTAAAAATTTAATAAATAAAATAATAAATAAATATAATAATAAAATACACAGTATATTTCTCAATGTACTCTATCTCAAAATAAATAAATAGAATGTGTGCAGCTTTTTCAAGCACAACTAAACTTTCAGTTTCAAGTACTGTTAAACCTTTTCACATACATATATTTGCCAGAATCTATTAGATGTCTGCTGTCCGGATAGTTCCGGCAGAAGAAAACAAGAGCTCAAGTCTCCACTATGTCTCTGGGAAAAGAACTGCCATATGCAGCTTTGGAGAAGGTGAGCATTCTGAGCATTCCACTAGAAGAATGGACTGGTTTACTGATTCTGTATTCCTTGGAAATTGGGCATCGGTCCTCATGAGCTGGAACTAACTACAGGGAGCACAATTATTATTGTTATATTAGACATCTGGAACTGCTTTTATCTGGAAGAGGAATTGCTTTTTAAAATATATTATTTATTCCTTTATTATTTCAATTTATATACTGCCCCATAATCTAGCGCACTCTCTGGGCAATTTACAGCATAATTACGCATGGAACACTTTGTCCCCCCAGCAAGCTGGGTACTCATTTTACGGACCTTGGAAGGATGGAAGGCTGAGTCAATGTTGAGCTGGCTACCTGAATCCATCAGGATTGAAGTCTAGTTCTGAGCAGAAGTTTGGTTGCAGTACTGAACTTTAACCACTGTGCCACAGGGGTCCTATATATTAGGATATTATGTATAAATGCAAATCTTGTAGTTATATGACTCTAAAATCAGTAAATATTTTTGAAGGTGTATCTTTCACTTTACAGATTTAAGAAACTTTTATGAGAGACGACACAAAATTGAGTAATATATTTCATATTCTCATGTGGTTCACACTCCAAAGACCAAAAGCTTTTGCTTTCAGTTTTTGATTAACTGTAATTCAGTATAACATCTCCATCCCAGTTTATCTTGCTTCATATGTTGATAAATAGCAGTTTAAAACAAGAAAGGTCCAACTTCCTCTTCCTGATTACCCATGAGAGGATGAGCTGCATTAAGACTGAGGATTACGCACATGACATGATGGTAAATTATGGTTAACATGGCCAAATCAGATCAAGAGTATGTGAGCACTTTGCACTTTCAAAAAACACAAATTGGCAATGCTGTTTTGGAATTCCATAAGAGAACAAGGAAATTATTTTATTAAAAATAAAAAGGCTTTAAAAAAGGTGAAAATGCAGATATTCTATCCCTTAAAGTTTCACAATTCTACATATGTATATGCACACATAAATACTTCATTCCCTCTTAATCTATTACTTGACAAACATTTATACTCACTTTAAGTATGTGGCTCTGAATAAAAGGCAGAGAGCAGGAGTATTATTAACTTGGAAAAGCTAAAGTGCATACCTGGGTACACTGCCTGTCAAACGTCTTTCACTTGATGTTGTCGACATCGGCCTCTCCTCTATATTTACATTTAAAGTATCTTTTGGATTATTCTGTGGTGCTTCTTTTCCTTCTCCTGCTTTCTTTTTTTCACTATCACTGTCATCACTGCCTTCGCCTAATATGTCATCAACCTGCCAAGTGAGGAAAAGTTAGTAGATGACACAACAGTCCAGCCTAAAAATTATATAACGACCACACCAATTTAAACAGTGATTTCTAGTTGTCTTCTAACATTGTGCTGAAAACATACTATTATATGCATTTGATTTGAACTACAATTTATATGACTTTCTATGCAAGCTTCTTCCAAACATCTTAAAACAATACAGTGCAAAACACGCAACAATCATTCTAATAATCAAATGAAAAAGGGAGGGGCAGAGTTAAGCATTCATTTTCGGTGGGTAGCACTCAGTTCTACTGCAGGCTTTCAGAAAAGCCTTGAAAGTATATTCTATAGGTTGCTTTTCCTTAATGTTTTTTGGGCATCAGATTCTGATCTGTTTCTGATCTATAAGTAATATTGAACTCTTATCTCTTTATTTAAAATACTTTTATCCCACCTTGCTTCTTAAAAAGAACCCAAGGTGGCTTATATTATTAAAAAAATGTAGATGTTAAAAATAGTAGGTATACAAATACAGTATTAAAAAAGAATTTTAAAAGTATCTCATTAAAATTAAACAAGAATTAAGTATTACATTAAAAACAGTAATAAAATTAATACTAAAATACTAAATTCAATCAGGGTGCCACCTTTACTGTTTCAGCAGCTTTGTGGGGATGTGATCCTGAAATGTGGATTATAAATCTGCTACATAATTGGTTCCCAACCTTGGGTCCCCAGATGTTCTTGGACTACAATTCCCAGAAATCCTGGCCAGGACAGCTAGTGGCGAAAGCTTCTGGGAATTTTAGTCCAAGAACATCTGGGGACCCAAGGTTGGGAACCATTGTGTTACATGTATAATAATAAACAAAAATGACCAGAGTTAATAGCTAATCATCATTTCAACTAAAGAAATTCAGCCTTAAAACACTATCCCATGTTAACAAGTTTCACTGTTAATTGTCACATACTGTATAATGATTTCCTATGAAAATGAGTATTGGTTTCAAAATATTTCCATGCAGGAAAAAAAATGTCATAGTAGCTGGAGCCAAAAGAGAAGGTGTGGTGGAAGAGAATTAATGTGCTATATTTTCTGTCTTTTACTGAATAAATGTTGCTTCAGAAGTGCTTCTTACGAAAAACCAAAACAAAGAACAAACCAGTATGTGCATAATTGAGTCAGGGCTTTATAAACTAGTTACAAGACACAGTGGCGCCCAATGTATTTCTTCACTACTTTAACCACTTAAAATATAAGTACGGAAATAACTGAGCAAGACTATTAACTTCCCTGATGTGCATTCATTTATAAATATTGTCTTATTGCTTGTGCTGAATTGCATTTTACTGTCTGCACACACGCTCAGGTTTTAAAGTAAATGTTTTGCCATTTTGAATAAGGTGGCACCACCAATAGTGATGTGTCTTCTATATGCATTTCCAGAATTAAGGGGCCTGCACCATCATCAGCAAGAACAAAAATTCATCAACTTACTTCAACTACATCAGCATCTAATATGAATTAAGTACAGAATTGTTCTCAGTCAAAGGTTACAGAAAAATGGAATCAAAAAAATTCCAGAAGCTCATTATTCCTACATGTTTTAACTTTGGATTTCCAGACCTCTCAGGCTTGCTTTTTCCATGATATTTCTTAGAATTTCAACATGGCAGTCTGTGCTAGCATGAAGCCAGCAAAGCTTTAAATAAGGCAACTCCTCCACCATTTTAGGATCTTTCCTCCCCACCTCAGCAGGATTTGCTTGGCCCACAGAGGATAGGTCTTCCTACAGTTAGTACTCTCAGGGAAAATTCAACTGCTCTTTTTATAGAGATAAGCATATGCTCATACATATCTAAGAAATCACCTCCCATGACACTGAGGATATTATATACTGCATTATATATAGATCCAAATGCAAAAACGCTGAAGAACAGCAAGCACATGAAAAGCATTCAAATCTAAAGATAAGGGATTAAATGCAAATGTACTGAGAAGCATATCCTCATACACATCTGAGAAATTACCTCCCACAACACCCAAGCCAGTTACTAAGAACATGAAAGTTTTTCACGTATTTTTCTTTGGGCACTGAAGCGTGACAATACTGCAGAATTATTAAAAAGTAAAACAAACAAAAAAGATCTGTTAGAGCGTAAAGAATGTTTCTACGCCTGCTGAGACTTTTTAAGTAAACGTGGTCCTCCACTTATGTGAGACAATTTTTCTGGAGGGGAAGTCACTGAAAGCCGTGCTCCTGCTTCAGTACAGCCCAATCGCATTCCTAGAAATCAATGCCCCTTGGAAATGAAATAACATTTTCAGGAGCATGACTTTTCCCCCTAGCTGACGCCACAGAATACTCCACCTCCTTAAGTCACACTATGTCATGACGTAATGGAATTCCCATGGGCATTCTGTCCCACAAACATGGTCAGGCAACTTGAGAGCAGCAAGGATTTTTTAAACCTTTCTGTTGATACTGAGTGTACAGGGATCCATTCTGTGTACATGATTTTTCTTCAGCATCTCCACAAGGAGATATTGACTACCTCCTTGCACACAATGGGAGCCCTGTTGCTTTCAACAAGATGATCTCCAGCTTGCACAACTGCAAGCCACAGATTGTGCAAGGCCATATACTGTACTGCACATTACACTCTGTGTTTCCTCAACAAGCTTTAAAATAATCTACCCATAGAATTTTACTGATGGGCTCAAGACCAATAAAAACTTCAAGTACTGTATGGCAAAAAACTTCTGAAATTGGCCCCACTGAATATGTCAACATTTGTTACTGCTTTAAGTGCTTCGAACAAAGACCGACAAAGCAGTGGTGATTCTTTTAGAACCATTAGAAAACTTGTAAAATGGAAAGACAATCCTTATCACTGCTAGTACAGTTTGCCTGTATTTGTGACCTAATTTCTTACTACAGTATTGTCATCATTTTTGTTTAATATGACAGAATATCAAATCTCCCCAGAAGCTGCTAGTAGAAGTAGCTGCTATATGAAAAAAGAAGCAATGTTGAATTCTTGCTTCCTCTAATCCCCATTGCTGAGCATTTTCAATTTTGGAAGCAAAACAGAACCACACAAAAGTTTCTGTAGAAATAGGGGGCTGCCTAGCATATAAAAATTTTGGAAATGAAATACATTTGGTAATTCAGATAAATTATAATGCATACATAAAGGCTCATGAAAGCCCTGTAAAGTTCTAGAATGCACAGTGTCAGCATCTGAGCCTGTTCATTACAGGAATGAGCAGTAGGAAAGACTATATGCCAGTTTACTCATTAGATCTATCTTTGAGAATAGAAAAGACACAGAATGTTAGAGTCCCATTTAAGACCACATGCACACAAAGTAAAATAGAGGGCAGGTGGAAATGACTAGGCCAAAGTAGAGGCAGGAAACTTTTTGAGACCTGGAGATCACACATGCTTACTTCTAGACACTGAAAGGTTGGACTCACTGTGGCACCTTCACCCCCAATATATTATGCATTTTAAAAAACTGCTAAAGTCCCTTGCACTCTCTACTGGCTATAAGGGACAAATTCTCTTTTTTTATTGCTTCTATGCTGTTATAAATTACTTCAGATTTTCAAAATGGCACCCTTGGTGTAAAACAGCTGGGGTGGGGGACAGAAGATGGCAAAATTTACCCCGGCAAATAAGGGATTATTTAGAGTTTTTTTTTTAAATGTGAGTGTTTGTGTGGGCCCTTGGGGGACAGGGGGAAGTTGAATTCTTGCCTACACCATTTACTCTTGTGGAACCCCCTTCCAATTCCAAAACTGTATAGACTCTTGTGTTGGGCTTTGTCTTATCCACTTTATTAGCACAAAATCAATAAATACTCCCCATATGTCTACAAATGCATCTCTGTCAGTTACCTACCTCTTAACTCTTATGTCACTTGTAAGTCTATCATTAATTGCTATATCCCAGACTTCCCTATATTATTAATAAAATATTATTAGCTGTTTTCTAGTTTCAGTTCCCAGTCAATCTTGCCCCTGTAAACAGACTGAAAACTAATTCTATAGTTGTCCAATTATCTACCTCTTTGTCAAACACTGATAAAAGCGCTATTTTAGGAGATAAAAGAAAATTTAAATTGTTTATTTCATTTATTTCTTTAAAAACCAATTTCTAAAATTTCAGTATATATCTGCATCCCAACAATATATAAAAAGTATGTACCTGTTTTCTCCAAGCACTTTTTGAGTAATTGCCATCTATTTGGTTACTCCATTTGAGTTAAGTACCATCTCCCAACTAACTTATAAAAATTTTATTTTATTCTTAATGACATTGATTTCAATATTCTATTATTCTGTAAATTTTTCCAAGTACTAAAACTAGTGTCTTCTCCCATATCAAATTCCTGTAACAATTCAAGTAGGTCCTCCAGATCTTATGCTTCCAGTAGTGTATTATTAATTATACTTGCTCCTTCACTGCCTTTGCTTTTCTAATTTCCTAATATTTAGTAATTTCCCTATATTTACTGTTTATTTTTATCCAATTCTTTGTCCAGTTTTCTAAATGAATATTATATGAAGATACTTCATCTAGACCTAACACTTCTTTTATTTATTCTTTTTAATTTTTTCAATAAAATCCTTTATTCTAAAAAAAATTATTAATCGATTCTCAATTTGATTTTTTACTCTCCAGGAAATTCTCCAACTCAGTTACTGGATATAGTGGGAAACTGATGGAATAGCTACCTACTACTATTCCAGACTGTTAACCTAATTCTAAGAAAGGGGTTTTCTGTATCTTTATTAACATGTATGAGGAGAATAGCTATCAAATTAAAATGTAATTATTGTGTTTCCATATTCAACCAAATTAGTTTACTAGGCTGACATATGACACCTGAAATATGTCTTACTTGAGTGGCAATGCAATATAATATAACCTTAAATTAGGAAGTTCTGAACTTCTATGTTTTTGAGATTTATACCATCTCCTCTTATTAATTTTTGTCTTATCTCCATTATTA